ACTACCTCTGTTACAGACCAGTTTCGAGTCCTCAAGTTCTTTACAACCTTTTTTCCGTTGAAAATAAGATGATGACGTATGTATACATGGGCGTTACAAAAATACCGTATACCGGGAACCGTGGAAAGATGTGGAAGAGACAAATTCCTATGATTTGGATTGATTTTCATCACCATTTCCTGCATCAGACACTTGTGTCTGTTCAACATGGACATCGTCAACACCGTTGGCTGGCGTTTTCGGTTCAGCGGCCATATCGATACTGTCAACCGTCGTATCAAAATCACCCATCCGTTTCCATTTTCTCAGATAGAGTAATGGTACAATGACTTGCTGAAATGACATGAGCTCGTTTGTATGAAAGGTCAACAAAACAGCAATCCAGAGAAGATCGAGTTCAGCTGCGTGCGGTCGCGAAGCGGCAGCCAATGAATCAGTCGATACAAATAGAAATAGACTTTTCAAGATGGTCAAAGGGCACTACAGTCTACAGTTCGCCACGCAAGCAGCCGATGTCGGCTGCGAATCTGACCGCTGTGCTGCAATCGATACATATGCATTACGGGGTGAGCTAGCAGCAGGCTCATTGTTAGTGAGGGCACAACATTTCTGGAAGTCGCCTGGAAGTCGAGTAATGTCGGTGTCAATTCTCTCCTTCAAACACTGCCTACTACTACCGTACCCCGGAGAGGCATTGGTAAACTTCACCATTGAAGTGGTGTCCTGTAGTTTTTTCAACTCTGCCATATCATCGTCGGTCTTCTTGAGCAACGTTTCATAGGCTTCCTTCATACATTTGAATCTCATAACATAATAAATCAAGAGGAGGAAGTCGATTGCTGAAACAGTTGTTTTCAGTAGTTGTTCAGGGAAGATGTCGCAACTGGCTTAAAGGGCGGATATCGTTTGAACAGCATTTCCGGGACCTTTTAAAATCAACTTGCCTGTTATAAATCCAAGAGCAATTTCAAAATAGGTAAAGTGAAAGTCACTCTCAAGAAGCCCATGGCGACACTTGGATGGACCATCAGGCATACCGCTCCTGTTTAGCGTGGCAGAATGACTGGGTAACTCTATGAAAGAAGAAAGTGTTATCATTATTTTAATAGCAAATATGTTTATTGTTGATTGTAGCAACACTACTGGTTACTAGAACTTATCGGTTGACTGTCGACCATCAGAGAAAACCCTTCAGACTTGTCAATGAACTTCGTACTATCAACTTCGTCGGAGAGTTCGTACGGCTCCTACTGCGGCCTTCACCTCCTGTACCACCAGAGACTTAATTGGACATGCTTATACGCTTATTATTTCAGAGAAAGTTGCCGTTTGGAAAGACCCATTAAGTAAATGAAGATCATTCAGAAGTGAGTAGGAATCTTTAAAAACCCATGGGAGGGATTGGGCGAATGTGCCTTCGAAAATGAACACTTTCATCCCATTTCAAAGAATTTTCGAAACGTTTATCGGTGAACTTCAAGGAAAGTAAGGACACCGAGAGATTCACGAAAAATCTCATACAAACTAATAAAGACTAGTTCGAAGAATTCAATTTGTCTAAAGGGAGAAGTTCAACTTCTACAATGGATTACACGAATAAATCAAATTTAAAATAGAGTTTGGGGGTGAGTTATTGTAAGAGAACATTACTGAATAACAATATCTTCATTGCGATCTGCCTGCACATTTGCTGGGGCAAATGACTTCCTTAACTGCTGGCTGGGTCTCTCTCGGCCCAAGTAGTATAGTGGTTAGTACTCCACGTTGTGGCCGTGGCGACACAGGTTCGATTCCTGTCTTGGGCATCGTTTTGCGTCTCGTCCGTTGATTTTCAAGCACGAGGAACTAAGCGCTGAATACACCAGCCGCCCGAAGTCGACCTTAATGCAGCTTTCCTAGTCGCTTATGTAAATTTCTGATTATTAACGTAATTTGGTTTTAATTTTATTGAAGGAGCCATTTCTCACCCATCATGACTACAGTCTAAATTTAGCGAAATTCTTTTATGACCGCAAAAAGCAGTGCATCGAATTTCCAATCTCACATGAGGCATTTAATGATCGATACTTGAAATTAGAAAAAAAGGCTTTTACTCTTTCGCGGTAAACATGATTCATTTCCGATTATGTTATCACCAAAGATGGCTCGATGATGGGAGCTTTCATCGAAAGGTGTTACTGTATCGAACGGTCAACATTTCCCGTATTTTCCAAAAAACCCAAAAAACCCAAAAAACCATGTTATCAGAAAGTGGGTTCGGCTGAGTGGTTACGTCGCATAAAACGTGAAGCAAAGGATATTGGCGGGCTCGTGGCGTCGTCCTCTGTGTGAAGAGCGGTGGATATCTTAAGTGCTGCGCGATAAGTAGGGGATATGAGTAATTGGACTCTTAAAGGTCAGCTGACGGAACTATTATACACAACCGTTCCATCTGGACTGGATGGGCGGAAAAGAGCATAAGTCCGTTCACGGTGCTCCAAATGACACTAAAGCTCTCATTTTTCAGAGACCTCATTAAGAACATCTTGCGGCTGAAAGTGGAATACTCTCACAGATGAACTACAAGTTCAACGAAAGAATGTTTTGCTGAAACGTCAGCTATAAAGTTTGAAATCTTGGAAAGACTGAAGTAAATATAGTCATATTAGTCAAAGAAGGTCTCGTTTCTGTCTGTCTGCCTGTCTATTTGTCTGTCTGTCTGTATGTTTGTCTGTCTGTCTGTCTGTCTGTCTGTCTGTCTGTCTGTCTGTCTGTCTGTCTGTCTGTCTGTCTGTCTGTCTGTAGGCATGCCTCCTTCCCTCTCTATTTGTTGTTAACTACCTAGAGATGAGCAAGTGATGTGAACAAAGCCTACGAAGAAAAGAGGTTTTTAGCAGTAGATGAGTGATGCCTCTATCTGGCACAGACAACTTGCCTTCAACCTTTTCCTTGTGAGTATCTTTGTCCTAAAGGCCGTTAACACATCCGTAAAAAGGATGTTAAGATGAAATGTGGGAAATGTCAAGAACATATGGTGCACCGTGAGATTCGGCCTTCTTATTACGAATTCAAAGCACAAACTTCAACGATCTGCAACATTTGACAAGAAACTGGAAGCTTAAGGAGGAGGATACGAAAAGTGACCAGGTTTGGCCAACGTAATGGCTAGCTTAAGAATGCTGCCACCACATGGGACTGATTCTTACCTGTGTCTAGCCATAATTTACCTTCTTGAAGCGTTTATACTCAGAAATGTTCACTGAATCTCAATAAAGGGTGGCAGCCACGTTCTCATAGTTACGTCATGACATAGGAATGCTGTAGTCTTATCGGTCTGTTGTCTTCAGGTTGGTCTTTACTCGCCAACATCAACTGAACGACTGGGAGAGGTATGAAAACAGCTTGTTACGTTGCTGAACATCCAACCTTTTGGAACAATTAACGACTCGTACAACCCATTGACAAGGATGGTTCATTTTCGTTGACACTTACGAAGAAGATGTGTCAATGAAATGATAAACCGCCCCCTTACACCGGAAGGAATTGTCAAAAGCTGCACTTTAGAACGTTGGCCATTTCGTTTTCCGGTTAACAAGGCCGTCAAGGTGCTGATAACTCCTTATCAGTGATGAATATATTCGAACAAAACTGAATCCGTTCATCGCCTTTGTCGATCGCCATTGTTAGACAGAGCCCATGTCCTCACCCTTCGGTTCACTTGCTTTGAATTTATGTTTTGTTAACTGCTATTAGTTCGCTGCTGTACGCGATGTGAAGGTCTCACAAGGATGGTAAGTTGTGGGCAAAACTTTGGTCACATACGGGACCCGACCCTGTGCTTGTGCTTTTCGAGCCCCATGCTCCTTATCCCTTATCCTCGTCCGGTTCGAGGCTGAAGTTTTACCCATAACACGCCAACTCGGCAATCTTGTTAGCCTCAGATTTGGTTAGCTAGCAAGTGTCAAATCGTGATCCGTACAGCTCCTTCCCAGTGCTCAAAGTTTCATTTCTTTCAAGCGTTTCGTATCCCTTGTTCCTGTTTCTCGAGGCGGATGTTGGAAAGACCTCAGAGGAAGGAGTTGAACAGAGTTTTTACTGTTTCTGTTTTCATACTCTTCTTTTATGTCCTTATTCTTCTCAGAATTATTATTCTCTTTTATATCCTTATTCTTCTCAGAATTTTGAACAAATTCCATTTACCGTTAAGAACTGCCTCTTCAGAATGAAATTTATCGCACTTATATGCACTCTGTCATTGGGCTGCTTTGCCAGCCCTGTCGTCCAACAGGAAACCTTTCAACAAGCACCGCCTTCGAAATTGGTAAGAAACTACAAATTTCTCGAACGATTCTCGGCTGATACTTGCTTTTGTGGGAAACTCTAAACGTCCTAATAAGCGCTTGCCTTTCCGGCAAGAGACCTTCGAGACGGATTCACCCCTTTCTTTTTTTTT